GGTGGCACATATAAAAAGTAATACTAACAGTCTAAGTTCTGCTCTCTAATTACATTTAGCAGTCAATGTGGGGTTGTGCATTCAGAAATTAGATCATCTTGATTGTTAAAGTCACAATCTTTTTTTACTCTTATTTCCCTTTGTCTTCTTCATCCTAGCATACTAACTTTCTTAATAATCGTCTTTAAAATCTCAATTGACCTAATAAACTAGTTCATGCATTTATGTTGCATAACAAGTAAAAAGGAAAAATATTAACACCCCATAAATGTTTGGACAGTAGAAAGGTTTTTTTTTACATTAAATTTTACATTTTAAGGAAGGAATTCTGTACTGCTGCAGCCTGGGTTACATAAAATAGAGGATCTTTTTCCTTAGGTGATGTCATAGCAGGAAGACAAGCATAAGAAAGCCTGAAAAAAAAAATCCCAGTCTTCTTACATATGATTGTTCTTTCTATTTTTCAACTGATATACCTGACCCTAATATTTTGGAAGACTCGATATTCATTCAGTCTCATATTAGAGGCACTCTTTACCTATTGCAATAACTACAAGGAAATGTGATCATCTGAGAAAAAAAATGAAGTCATAGAGGGCATATCCAGATAAAAAGTTTTTGAGAAAGTGGCTTCACAAAAGCCAGTAAATCTGAATCAGAAGGAAAAGCCCCTGTCAGTTGCTCAAACCTGAATGTGAAATAAGGCAAGCAATAACTTTTTCTCCCTTGAGCCTTCCTTTTAGCTTTTGCCTATAGTGTTGTCAACCTGGACTTCTCAAGCTGTATCAGATTCCATTTTCTATAGTAATTATTCTCCATTTTTCAGTATATGTTTTATAGAACTGTGAAACAAAATTGAAATCAGCCCAGTGGAAAAGTGAATAGGGAAGAAGGTCAACCTGGAATAGAGGGCAATAAATAAAATTATTGACTTTTCAGACCAGATTACTGTGTTAGCAAGAAGGTGGTCATTGGAAGTATGATCACATGCTTTATAAGAAGAGAAAAAAATTTCAGAAGGGTAGAGCTTATTAAATACCACTAAGTGATTAGCCAATATATGTATACATATATAACTATTTAGTAAAGCTCTTAAGATATATTTTAAATATATTAAAATCTCATTGTATTTAAATAGCTTCATGATTTTTCTGAGACAAAGTGACTTTGTCTAACTCTTTTTGTGCTCTCATTTGTTAAAATCTATTTCTTATAGTTACTAAAAACATAAGTGTCTGAAATGAGGCAGAGCATTGTGCTCATCTGGAGACTTCCTGTTGAAAAGAAATCTATGTATGTATATATTCAGCTAATAGAATCATGGGGTTTTATCACTATGAATTCTTCCACAGCAGCAAAAAGTAAAAATTTAAAGTGTTAACACTAACACAGTAATATGTCATTCATATGCAAATGGTAGGAACTCAAATGCTGAAATCTCTTTTCTAATTCCTGAAGTTTATAGTCTCCCTCTTTTACTGTTAATTTTGGATAATAAGTATAAGTTTTAATGCAAGTGTGTGTAAGATGCTTTTGATGTGTAAAAAGGGCTGATAACAATATCTTGAGGTATATCCAAAGTATCATGTGCAATCATGGTGATATCTTTCTATGAACACTGGAGTCAGAAGGCTTAAAAGTCAGTCCTAACAAGCTTCTTAAAATTGGGAAACATTCTTGAGGGGAGACAGTTCTTTCCATTTATTTGTTGTGTCAAACTAGGACCATGCTCAAATCTTTAAAACAAAAAACAAAAAACCAAACAAACAAACAAACAAAAAATAAAACAAAAAACCAAAAAAAGTAGTCTAGGCATCTTAACAACTGTCTGATTAAGCTTACTGGGTTTGTATGCGATACATCTAGTGAACTGTCCAGAAGTCAGTCCCTTTGGGACTACATTTGTTGCCCATACAGGCAATGAATCTGTAAGCAATGCTCCTGGTGTCACCAGACTGCAGTCGAGACTCATGGATCAGCTCAGTGTACTCAGCTGCTCAGCAGAATGCTAACAGACTTGGCCATGCCATGTCACTCTTGCATTTCAGCTGCAGCGTGCAGACGTGCACATAATGTCTGCTCAGGTTCAGCTGAGTCAGAAACAGACAAGCAAGTCTCCTTCAATACTGAAACAGCCTGATGGTCTCTGCTGCAGCAATTTTCTCTCCAAGCTCTTCAAGACAGCATCCTTAGCAGTCTGAACAAAAACTCTTGAAAAATCAGCTGGGAATACTAAGAAAGACTGATACAATTAAGCACACTCCTAAACCCCTTGAGTCCACTCAGCATTAACAGAGCATCTGATTGCTGACTGCTGAGAAAGGCTGGACATATTCAAGTCTGTGGGGCCAGACAGGGTAAGCACAGACAGCTGCTGTTATGAAGCCAGTCTGCCATCAGGAGAAGTCCCTGATCTCTGGAAAAAGGTTAAGACTACACTCACATTTAAAACAATACATTAAGATTTATGCAGAATTTAAAATAATACAATTAATGAAATTGGCACTTGTGTCTTCCACCAAAAGTAGACACGTTTACCTTGGTAAACAAAGTGAAACCCTCTGGCTGATGCCCCACTCTTAGCACTGAATCGCAGAAGAATTTGATTAGATGTAGCCAAAGGCAATGTCTCTCCTACAAATGGGAACAGAAAATAAGTACACAAAACAGAAACAACAGTTATAGCTCTTCAATACATAATCAAATATGCTGTTGAAAACACAGTTTCATATTTTCCTCTATAGTGAAAAAATACATAAGTAACATTGTACAAAATTAAATTTGCCATTGCCAGAATAAAAAGACTTCAACAAGAGAAACGTGGAATTTACTGCAGCAGCTGGAACTAGAGCTCAAATAAACTACTTGACTGGAGAACCCTACTGTCACTTGGGGACAAAATTATTAGAAGACTTTTAGCTAACCCTTTTCTGTGACTGAGAGGATTACTTTGCCTTGCAAAACATATTCAACAAATAAAAGTATTTGAAAAATGCCACAGGGATCTTCATGGAATGTTTATCATTTCAAGACTAAAACTGAAAGAGAGCAAACCCATGATTTGTTTTATGTAGTGGCTTCAATAAAATATATGGTCACACAAGAACTATATTACATTATTAACTTTCTTATGGCATTGCAAATTTTATTTCTGACTTGAGGATTAATAAAAATATTTAATATACTTTATCTCCTTTCCTGATATATCTGTCAGGAGCCATGATAGAAGTTCAGTAATGAAAAACTATAGACAAAATTGCAGTACTTTTACGATGATTCCACTACATATTACTACTGTTTTTATTCTCCCTGGACTGTATAAACCCATATTTTATTAAATTCTACAGAAACAAATGATGATTTAAAATATTGTATATAAATAAGAGTAGTAGTTTGGCAAAAAATTCTTTCACTTTGATTAATTTGATATTATTACAATAGTGATCCCATGTAGGAGAAACCTATTCTAAATCAATGTGAATCAGATATGTCACAAGTAATAAATAAAAATCAAAAGTTTAAATACCCTTCAAGTATTTTTAAATGTCTGCTATGAAAACAGACATTAGTTTCAACTTTCATATGACAGTCTGATGCAGTAAAATTTGGTGCTGGGATGAGTTGTCTCCTAAATTTAAAAATTTAATTTTGTTTTGTTGCTGAATTCTTGTCAGTAATTAAACAACTCCTAGAATTTTTTGTGAACTCTTATTGCGAAACTAATAGCTGGATTCATCAGAGGAAAATTAGAAGCTGAGTTTTTAATGTAATAATATATTTTATATAAATCAAATAGATATGCTACATTATTTTCTTATTAAGCATTTCTCCAATCATTCAAGGTAAACACCAAGAAGCCATGAATAGCCCTGTACTGCCAAAATATTAAACTCACATACAAACTCCCTTAAATACTAGAAATGTTTGACAAAACACATTCATAGGTGAAGAAATATAAAAAATATACTTACATATCACTGAAGATAATCACATTCATTATATATGCATACATTGGAAATTTGACCATGTTGAAATCCATAAAAGCTTAATTATGATTTCATAAGGTCAGCATTTTGCTATAGTTACCTGAATGCAACAGCTAGCCTGCTTTTAGTCTAAGTGCATGTTTGCATACAGATAATTGCATTTTGTAAATATACAAGTAATTTGTGTTTCAATTAGCCATTCAGAATATGTAGATGTGTATTTCAAAAAGTTTAGGGGGCAGAGAAGACAATTATACCATCCAATCTGTCCACTTACATAGAGATCTGAGAACTTCATTCAACTATTTCTACACTCACCCCAGTAATCAGTTCTTGCCTAACCATATGTTCCAGAATAATGACTTGATTCAAAGATTTAGAAGGGCATTCCATTTCCCTTAGCATCCTGTTCTAATAACTTTATTTCCAAAGTAAATTCATAACATACTCCTGATTACTTTTTTCCAATACTAAGCTCTGTAAAAGTGTATACTTCTTTTCTTTATTAGTTACCTGAGTGGGATCCAGACAGAGAACTAAGAAGTCTAGCCTGAGAGTTTTCTCCATCAAATAGTTCTGCTACATCACTCAAAGCTGTCTGAAAATAGGCAAATTGTCCAAACACAACTGTATTAAAAAAAAAAAAAAAAAAAAAAAAAGATAAAGATAAAAAAATATAAAAGAGAGGAGTTAAATAATATTTGTTTTCCATATTTTTATTTAAAAAATAAATTTCCATATTTTTAATTAAAACCAAATTTACAAATTTATTAAATCATGCTTTCAAAAAAACTGTGACCTCCAGTCAAACAAGTCTTATTCCATTTTCTTTTTCTACCTATGAGAATGAGAAAATGGAATATCTAAACAGAATGGTTTGTATCAAAATTACATTTCCAAATATAGCAACTATTAAGAATTATCTATTATCACATAGGATTAGTTGCTTACCTTGCTTTAGTCTGAGAAATATTTTTTTAAACATATTGATTTGTCAAATTTTTATATTTGCATTAGTGTTTATCAGAAGGCTATGAAAACTGATCCAATATTAAAAATACCAGTGTGTTACCAGCTTTGACATACTGTTACACTTAATTTTCACTTCAGTTGTACATAAAGTGTATTAATAAATAATTGAATATTACAATTGAATATACATTGAATATTACATTACAATATTGCATTACAACTTACAAGTAAAACGAAGTCAATAAAAATATGATTTTGTCACTCTAGCCATCTATATTTTGTTGACAGCTGAGTCCTTATAGGTTTCATTGTACATGGTACAGAAAGTACCAAATGCATTAAGTTGTGAATCAAGCCTCTTGGTAAATAAGTAGTAAAATGAATCTTACTGCTATTTGTCTGGACTTAGGAAAAACCTGTTTTGCACAAAACTACACCTTATATACAATTGCTTGAATTTTAGAGATTCTGTCCAAATATTTTGATACATTGAAATAATCAGTTTTGTGATTTTTCACAAACATTTCTGGTACTTTTCTGTAGAATTTCTTCTTTTCCCTCCACTGTACACCTTAAACAAATGTGATTCTGCTTATCTTGTCCTTGTCAAAACATGAAAAACAAAAAAGTTACAATTTAAGAGGAGTATAAGGGCTTGTTTTCTGACACTTGATTTTACTTTGCAGGAAGATTGAATGAATGACTATCCTATGATAATGAATAATGTAAACAATGAAGTTATTCAGGATATGCTTAGATACCAAACATAGACTGGTTTGTTTCTCTTGGGAGAAGTAAAAGGTTCAAACCCTAGAAACATTTTCCATGTCAGGAATATATTTAGTCTTTATAAATAATTTGCAATACAATGTAAACCTAAGGCAAATGTGACCTAAGGTCATTACTTCACATAAAGGACATTTGAACAGTAGGAAAATGATAATGATTGATAAATCAATAGAAGAAATTCTCACCAAATTCTTTAGGGACAGTTATTGAATAATGGCAAGTCTGTCCAGCAGTGTAATTATGAGGATAATTTGGTGATAAAACCACTCCCTCTGATCCAGTATACTGCCCTCCACATGGTGCTGGAAACAAACGTAAAGAAATATTGATTAGAGCTGTCTATATTAGTTAAGTCTGAAAAGAAATAATCTAAAGATCAAAAAATAACATTTTACTAGTTCTTCTTTTGTTTGGTTTACCTGTACTGAAATATCTAGTGGTTCTTTCTCAGGATATAATTTTATTATAATTTCTTGAAAATTAGAATACATGCAAGTTTTACCTACAAGTATTCACATAGGACTGGAAATATAATTTATTTAATTGAAAGATACTGTAAACACAGGCTTTAGGTTGGGTTTTCATTTGAATATCTCTCTATGTCTATCCATGTTAAAAACAGGTCAGGAAAATATATAGTACTGCATTAAAAATGGCACAGAGGAATACATAGATATGCTGACACTACCCTACACAGAATGCCAAAAATTCTGCTTTGTGAAAGTGTGCTTGAATTGCTTTATTTTCATATCTTCCTAGATGATTATGAAAAGTGCACATAGATTATACATATAAAAAAATCTTTGGCTTCATATGTATGTGAAAGAAAAAGAAAGTGAAAGGTAAGAGAAACTTTTTAGAGCTATGGAAATTATAAGACATATTTAACAACAATGGAGCTCAAATCCCCAGGATATGTCAATATTTATATGAGTAGTAGTTCTGTATCACGAGAAAAACAATGGACAGTGAACGCATGGCACGTTCCTCCATGTATAGGCTGGAAATGTGGCAGAGTAAGGGACAGATGGAGTGGCTATTTTCAAGTTCAAACATCTCCTTGTGTTGGATATTAAGTAAATAGATTTCTGTACACTGTACAGAAGAAATGTATTTTTGTATTTTGAAAACAAAGTATTGCTGGCAGTCTTCTCACATTTTGGAAAAGTCTGGCTTCCTATCAAAATCTTCATTAAAATATAAGTATTGTATTTAAATTAGTTACATGCAATTCAGTGCTCTTTTTATTGTGAGAAATGATTTCATTAAAAACTGTAGTTTTCAACAGAATAACAGATTGGTGTAAGAAGTTATGTCACCCAAGAAACCAATAATGGAATTATTTTATAAATAAATAAATGGATAAATAAGGTTATTTAAAAACAGTATAGTCACATTAATTTGCTTTTAAGCAAGGAAAATATCATTCTACTATAAGGAAGAAAGTAAGTCAGTGTTACCCTGCCGTGGGCATCTTGCATATAGCAGAGTACAATTTAACAGCTTCCTGGAAACTGACTCAGAGGAGGAGGTGTGGCCCAGGTGGACAAGAAGGCCACTGATGTGGGTCTATGAGAGTTCCCTGTTATTGACTCCTGGCTCTGCAGGCCTGGCTCATGTGCTGTGGAGCTCTGCAAGTGAGCGAGCCTGTGCTTTGGACATCCTTGGCTCTTAGCCCTTGTGGAGCAGACCTGCTCTTTCTGCTCCCTGACAGGTCTTTAAAATCATGCTTGAAATATCTGCACAAGTTTGACTTCCTTATACAAAAAGGCAGCAATTAATACTACAAATCCACGTCTTCTCTTAGCTGCTTATATGAATTATTCAAAAATCCAATGTAATGACAGAAGATGAGGAGTTCAATCTATCAGTAGGCAGAATAGGATTATGTGGCTGAGGTGAAACTCAAATATCACAAGGAATTAGTTCATGGTATGAATTTAAAAACTTCTCTATTTTCTTCTCTTCTTGCTTTGAGGATATCAGAAACTGATTAACACATGAAATTCTCAAGTCTTGAACATTTCATTGCAATGAAAGCATATCACTTTTACTTAACTTAAAACAATCTCTAATGTGTTGGAGTTATAGAAATGTTTCCTTCATAATTATGTTTTTCTATAATTAAAAATCCAAAATTATGCAGAAGATTATTTTTCAACATAAATAAATTAGTAATTTATAGATTTTATTAATGAATATGTAACTTCTTTTTGATTTTTTAAAATTTTTTTATATACATACATATGTATATACATATACACAAGAAAAACACTGGAACCAAGAATAGAGGATAAATTAGCCACAGTTCTTAAATGTCATTTTAATTTTCTTCCTCAGTAACTATAATTCTTATTCCAAGGTGAAAATTACTGCAGTATTGAGATGGTTGTGGTAGCTATTCTAAATAATACTGGGTGTCTAAAGAATCTTACATATTATATTTCAACCATTAAATGAACACGTGTTGATTCCAGACTTTAAAGATATTTTTAAATACTTAATACATTATTGACAAAGCTATAGTCCAATACTCAATTCTCATTTTTATGCCTCATTTTTTACACCAGATGTATGAATACACTATTTCTGTAGTGTAAATAGCCTCAGGGACTGAGAAATTGAATTTGCTGGGTGGGCAAGGGAAGTGGTAAGAAAACAGTACATACCATTACAAGATGGCAATGCTCTGTTCCAAGCTGGCTTTCCATCTGCACCAATTACACATGTTATAGTTGAAGGTTCAATAATCTTATATCCAGAATCACACTGGTAAGTAATAGTTGAACCAAGCTTAAAGTCTGTTCCAATTCTTGTGCCGTTCATGATGTTTCCAGGATCAAAACAAGCTTCCCGTGGCTTTTCTGTTAAAATTAATTACAGTAAATCTACATACATTTTCAATTTAAAAAAAAAACAACAAAAAACCCTCAAACTATTACCAGTGGTTTTTTTCAGTCAGTTTAAATTATTCAACATCTTATTAATATATTATTCTTGTTGAATCATGGATCATGGATGTTTGCTTAAGACTGATTATCTGGAAGAGGTAATTATAATGAAGCTGAAGCTGAATGACTCCAACAAAGTTTAGTATTTAGAAGAAAAATGCCCAGTTCTAGAATTCACCACTTCTATATATAAAAGGAGGAAGACTACAGAAAATGTGGGTCCTCTCCAGCAAGAAATGGTAGACCTGCTTACCCAGGACATAGAAAAGGCTGAGGCAGTCAACCACAAGGGCACGTAGCAACATGACAAGAGAGAGTGATGACAAACTGAATGAGGGTAGGTTTAGATAAGGATGTAACCCTTTACTCATGAGGATGGTGAGGCACTGGAACAGATTGATTTGGATGTCCCTTCCCTGGAAGTGTTCAAGGTCAGGTTGGATGGAGCTTTGAGTAACCAAGTCTAGAGGAAGGTGTCCCTACCATGGCAGGGGGGTTGAAACTAGGTGATCTTTAAGTCTCTTCCAACTCAAAGTGTTCCATAATTTTATGCATTTTATATAAAGTACTGAATAATATATGTAAGAAAAATATTAAATTATTACATTTTTAAAATATGGTATTCTGTCCTTGTATCTTTTATTTTTATCTCATTATAATTTCATTCAACTTTCAGTTGCATAGAGGAACTCATATCACACTGCTGAGGACAAAAAATAGACATAGAGTAAAAATGTGTATGCACATTTTCAATCGCCATATTTATCTCTTTATCTCCTTCTGCTCAGCATCTCATTCTCTTTCCTTGCAGACTTCCTGGAACAAATTATTTTCCCATTTTTTTTTATATTTTGCTTAGACAGGGACAAAAAGTCTAAGATTTCATTTATGGCAATATGAAAGTTACTTTGGGAAGAGGAACCTTGCACACATGGAGAATAATGTGTGATGCTGGATGACAGATGAAGAATAAATATAAAAATTATTTTTTAGTTCTTTTTCACTTTTATGGGTATATTTTTTCTGCATTTCTTAGATCTTTTTGTCCTTCATTTTTGACATGTACATTAATGTGGTCTGCTTCAATTGTCAAGAATAAGAAGCTGAGACAGCACTTCTGCTGCTGAAAGACAGCTTGATGAAACTCAGCAAAGATTATAATCAAGCCACAGACAACATCTGTGACTGGAAAAGAAATCAGCATCACCAGTGATTGTCTGGTTTTAATAAACAGTCAGCATAACCCAGTCTCTATCTAGAAAGTGGCACACCCTCCAAAAAAAATGCAAATACCATCCAGTAGTATTCAAAATGCATTTGTAGATTCAAAACAGTATGGAAAGGAAAATGTATTTGTATGTATTGATGAGAAAGAAGAAGCAGTCAGGTGGTCTTCTTGGGTAAGATAATTTCACTATTATCATTTTCCAAGTGTTACTTTTGATGTGCATCTTCTACCTATTTTTTTTTTTTTTTTCCTCTGGAAGGTGAATATGTGCATAAGTGATGTGAAAGAGATTTCATTAAATAAGATTTCTGTGTTCCTTCACATATTAACAGAAAATAGTTTTTAAAACATACATTAATGCATAAAGGCATTTGGCAGTTCAGTTATGAGTACATACAGAAGTAAACAGATTTGAGTCTCAATAACTACTAAGCAACATTTTTTCCTTTTATTTAGACTACTTTGAGAACAGTACCTTTATAGTCAATGGCAAATCCTGACATTCCAACAGAAGCATCACTGCGAAAAGCCAGAAACAGACTGTTACCACTGCTCTCTATTCTTTCAGGAGCCTGTGAGCCTTGAAAACTGCCAATTAGAGGACTGTTGGAATCTTCTCCTTCATAAATATGTAGAAAATCATAACTGGGTTCCATATTGAAGCTGAAAATAAAGGGAAAAAATAATTAAGTCTTCAGGGTTTTTTTTAATGAGTTAAACATTACTGTGACTGTAGTTGCCAATTTTCTGCCTAACACATTTTCTTCCCCAGAAATAATTTTTTTTTTTAAATATGATTCACAGTAAAAATTCACAGTGGAGTTCTTTTTATCTAGTTATTGATATGAACACATTCAGCTTTTCAAAAGCCATTATGAATATTATCCTACCTATGTTAAACACCTTTCTCAAGATCATGGAATCATGATTAAGAAAGTTTGCCTATTACCAAAAGACCAGAGGAATGATCCAGAAAAAAGCTTGAAATAAAAATCCAGCTTTTATTTGGCTGAACTGGATGATACTAAATCTACTAACCACTACAAATATATTTATCATTTTTGCTAAGATAGATAATTTTTAATTGAGAATTTTATAAATGGTAAAAGGAATAGAGACCTAGAGACCAAAACCAAGGAAAATCAAACTGTACAGAGCAATAGTTTTCAATCTTTCTGTAGGAAACACACATTTCTCTAATGCATCTCTCTATTCTCAGTCCACATTCACACCCTGTGTAGACACTGCTGTCTTCTCAAAGCCAGTTCCTTGAAAGAGCATAGGCCTAGCTCTAGCATACTGCCCAAGATTGAGAAAGGTTAGGTGAAATGAACAGAAAATGGTATGTTAAGTAGGTTTTTCAGATAGCAAAGAAATATTATTTCTTCTGCTCTCTATTTCATCTGCCCAAAGTTGTGGGAGTCTGGAGAGGTCCCTGCTCTCTGGAAGGTGGCCAATATTACCATAATTTACAAGAAGGATGTGAAAGAAGATCCAGGGAACTCCAGGCCTGTCTAACCTCAGCTACCAAAAAGTGTGCACATTACCAGACTGAAACCATTTAGAAAATTTATTGGAAATACAGCATAAATGGAAAATTCCATCATATTGCTCACACTGTACTCCCTACAATAATACAAACAAATCTGAGTACTAAGTAACTGTAAGTTTCTTTCATTTTTGAAACTGAGCATTTGAGTTATCCACAGAAATATGCCACTTACTCTATCTGTCATATGACATCTTCAAGTGTGTAATTAGTGGAGAACTATTCTTGTCCCTTAATGTTATTTGATCAAAAAGCAGAATAACAGAATTACTGTATTTTTCTTATTATGTAATTTCAAGTACCTTAGGATTCCAATCTTTAATTTTGTGTCTATCAATAGCTTTTAGAAAATAAACTGCAGCCCATAATTAAAGAAACTGGGGTTTTTTTGTTGGTTTTTTTCTTATTTTTTTGGTTTGGTGTTTTTGGTGTTTGGTGCTTGGTGTTTGTTTGTTGTTGTTGTTGTTGTTCTGGTGTTATGTTGCTTTTTTTTCACAGAAAGGGTACAAATATTATATAGCAAGCTTCTCAACATGCCACCATATCTTCCTAAAAGAATCACAGCTGAACAATATTCCACTGAATTTGAGAGCATTGTTATCATTCTCAGCTTTAAATTCCCACTTAAAACACAGTATCAAAAAATGAAAAAAAATTGCATTTGCATACATAGATATAGCAAGCCAGATGATTGTATAGGACTGAATATGACTACATCCATGACCTTCAACTCGTAAAAATCTATGCAACACATATTGGTTGATTATGGAACACAGAGGAAACAATTAAAATTATGCTACAACATTATCTCAGTGTCTTTTATGTCTTGAATAAGTAGAACAATATTTTTTCTTATTTAAGCACTTTGAAGAAAGTATATTTAGGCTGTATTTCTAAGAACCTGAAAGAACTGCCTTACAGATAGAATTTCCACTACATTCTAAGTCTTGACTCTTAGTTGCTTACAGCATAAATGAAGAATTTCTACAAGTTGATATGGTCTTTCAAAGATTTTTATTTGATACATCACAGAAAGTTTTGTTCCTTAGGAATATATTGGATAGAAAATGTACCATATAGCTATGTATTTTTCTTTTACATTGTTTGGAATGAATGGTAATATTAAATATGTGCTCCAGGATGTAGCCAGAGAATTTAATTGGAAACTTTGGGAAATTATAAATATTGCTATTTTTAGATTTGACATTTAAAACCCTTTAAAACAGAGGCATTCATTGAGAAATGGTACCTTTTGAATATCAAGGCAATGACAAAGTCAGGGTTTACTTTTATTCTCCAGTCACATTCTTTCCCAGGAGGATAAGGCTGTGGATAGTTAGGTGATAAAATAACTCCTGCTGGGCCTGTCAGGTTCCCTCCACATGCAGCTGTCACAATGCAAAAAGAAATAGGAATATGGTCACGTGTCAAATTCACGAGCACATATCAGCTGTTAAGTAGGAGCAAAATTCCTTCTATATTTACCAAAATTAATAATATTTTTTTTAAAACAAAGAACTATCACATCCTCTTAGCAAAAAAATTCCAAATTTCCTTTTAAAAAAGTGACCTCTATTCATATTCAAAAGCGGTTCAAGAAGAAATCTTTCTAAAGGAATAAATATACGAAGTTAAATAGGAAGTCCTTTATATTTTTGGTATTACTTCATCCTGTGTCTATCATGCTGAAAATTTCATATATACTGGAAGTACTGTAAGAACTGGGAAAGCTCAATAGTAGCACTTAGGTTGCAGTTTCTACTGACCATAGATATTGCAGAAACCAGTTTGATTCACTTAGCAAAGATATTACCCAAATAAAAAATCAAATACATTCATTTAGTTACTGTGAGTTGAACTTTTATACAGATAAGGAATCCTGCTCTTGTTGATGATAATCACATCTACAAAGTCTAGCAAAAGTAAGTCTAAGAAAAAAGTAGTCAAGACAGGCTTCATCTACATTACGAGTAAACTAAATTAAGAGAAACATATTTATAGTGCAAACTGGTTGGTACTAAGGATTTGGAATTTACACTAAACATTTTAAATAGATTTCTTTACAGGCCATTCCATTTATAAGTCAGCATACTAAAGTAAGGACTTTATGAAAATTTTGAAAATTATAGAAAATTACTTTACAGAACTCGTAAAGTTTCTTCTGTTGTCATGTCTACACTAAAGATTACTTTAATCTGCTTTCCTCTTCAAAGTCACCTTGAGGATATGGAAGAATAACAGTAACTATGTATATATTTTTTTGCCCAAAGGGATTCTCCCTCTCTTTCTGTCTTATTTCCTTCTTTCTTTTAGGTTTGTTTTGTTGGGGTTTTATATAGCCTGTAAAGAAATATGGAGTAATTATAATTGCTATCTAAAATAAAAATATGAATCTTCTAGATTTAGATACGACATAGATATTTTTTCTTTAGATATTTACTTTGTGAACATTCCCAATATGTAGTGTACAAAGCAGTATGAAAATGCTTACTAAACAAGTAAGCATTTTCATACTGCTTTGTACACTACACATAAGATATACAGAAGACAGTACGCAGCTTAGGTGCTTCTCCAATTTTGTTACATGATATGGAGTCAGAGAACTGATCCTCCATTGTCTTGAAACCTTCATAGTATTTTTACTTCAGAGAAACAGAGGGACTGCTGTTGTTTAGAGATATGCTATTTTGTAAAGTGACTCTCCAAACTGTCTTGTAGAAAGAAAAAGCATTGTGTTTATGCCAATGATATTGCATTTGGGTTCTAGGATTGCTAAAATAAGTCTTCATTTAATTATAAATCAGCAGGCAACAAAATAACGAGGATTAAAAAGATTACTATGCCTAGCAGATAAATTTACAGATGTTGATTACTCCTAGAAAACCCACCTTAATGACCTTAAAAATAAAACTCAGCAAAAGTTCTAAGCCTGCAAATATTGTCTACTGAGAAAATCCTCAGTGAAACCTTTATACAATCTAGCACTACAGATACATCCTCTCCTGGTGCTACGGAAATATATCTAATTTCTTTCAACAGCATTGTCACTTGGATCCCCTTCTCTGCATTTACTTTTCCCAATAAGTATCCATCTTCCAAGGTATTGCACAGGATGGTTATTTAATCTGTAAGATAACTCAGAAATATATATATATATAAATATTTTCAGAATAAATAATGGATTAGAGTTTAAGTAACCAAACTATTACATAGAACATTCTAGTGAAATAATTTCAACATGAATTTTTTTATCCAAATCACCATTTCTTTTTATTTATTTATATTAGATTTTGTAATTTTTAAACTTTTATGAAGCTATAAGAATAAAGTAAGTTAAATCACACCCAAAAATCCTGTTAATCAAGGGAACAAGACTGACATTGTCTGTAAGCACAAAATAACTGAGCTTCGCCGAGATCATCACTCTAGTATTAGCACCATATGCAGAATTATTGAACAAGAAATGCAGTCTGTGTTAGTCCTAAATAGAGACTAACATTTCATCTTAGTACCTATGCACGTAGGGGGATCAGGCTGCCAAAAGAATCGGTTGTTCAGTTGCACACAGGTAATTTTGGCCTGCCCTTGCAGCTGATAGCCTGGGTCACACTGGAAGGTGGTGGTGTCTCCAGGTTCCCTGCTGTCTCCATATCTAGTGCCATTCTGTGGTGTCCCAGGATCATTACAAGTTGATGCAATGGAAGCTGCAAGGGAATGATGAAATAAAAGATGTAAGGCAGAGATACTTACTCTGCATAATTAAATGCACAACATGTTCACATGTTCATCAGCACAGCATTCCATCAGCACAGCATTCCAACCAGAGACAGTTTTATTTACTCTTCAGGTAATGCAGGAAGGCATTTTGTTTCTTTACTTTTACAAAAATCTGCCCTGAGATACATCATGATTATGCTGACTTGCTGCCAGTATCTTTGGTATAAAATAGGGACTGGTTTTGTCCAGTTAACACATCAAAAGAACTATTAACTCCTTTCCTCAGTTTAATATTCTGGTTATCAAAATAGATTTGACTCCTTTTGCACAATAGGGTAAGTATCATGTTGTAAATAATATTGTTTTATAGTCCTACTATCCTGCAGCATGCAAATGCTCTTTACTCATCTAGCTAAATCAAAAGCAGTTTATGCAGCCCTGAAGTTTTCATTTCAGGGGCAAGTAAAGTCTTTCTTAGAGAACATTTAAACTGAATGTTAAAAAAATGTCTCACTTATGATCAGTTTCCCATAGCCGGGTATGGATTTTGCTTTCTGAAAGAATAAATTATTTAAAAAGCAATGTTAAACTAAGCAGAGAAATCACTATGGCATGACTTAAAGCAAATAATCACCCAGAAAGTGGATACACAAATATACATATACTATGGATTTCTGGAAGATGCCAGGTCTCTTCTGGCTTCAGGTTCTCTTCTACTGGCTTCAGGTATTCAGACATCTTGAGCTGCAATAAACTTTGCAGTCTTCCAAAGGAACAGAGGTCTGTCTCTGGAGACTATTGTCCTTAATAAATTGTACTCTCTTTCCTTCCAGTCCTTACCCAAACACATTTTTCAAAGAACTGACTACAACTGTGAACAAAACCCAAAATAGGAAGTCATAAATCCAGTCATGTTGCAGTTCCCATTAATGGTACTGGTGTCTACAACCAGTATGCAACCTTCCTGACCATAATAATTCAGTTTCTGAATTAACATCTGCATCTTTGGATTGTTCCTATATGTAAATGAAGTAAAAGATGTGATAGGTTTTTAACTGTGGTGAACTTTTTTCCACTAGGAATTAAAGTAATAGCTGTCACTGCTAATGAGTACTGTGTAAGGATTCCCCAGGCACCACTCTGACAATTTATGTGACACCCCATCGTAGTTCAGTTTAGTAAAAGTATGTTTGGCCACAAGGGAATGAAAGCATGGTCACGACCTCAGAGAAGTTTTTCCTGATTTGACAGACAACAAAATCTCTGAACAATGGATTGCTGCAGTGAATATCTGTTAAAGACTTGCTGTTCTTCCAAATAAATGAGCACAAGCCTATTTCTGTCATTAATTGCTGTCTTTTTTTTTAACATATCTCTGAATAATTTTTTTTCTTAAAAGGTTATGGTATTTAATATCTCAGCAAGCAACACTTTTCCCAAATTAACTGTGTCAAGTAATTAGAAAGGACCGATGCCTTCCAATATTAATTTCACTGTTAATCTCCATTTCTCATATACAAAGTTCTAAATTTTAAAAATTATCACTGGTATTTATTAAACATCAAAATGTTCTTTACAGTTTTGGTCTTGCAGCCTCAGAACATTTACAAATTTACAAAAATTCTTTTTTATGTATTTGAAACCAGCGACCTTTTTATTGTGCCAAATAACACTTGATCCTAATTAAATAGAACACCAAACATTTAAGCACTGATGTGTCATCTAGTATAGTGAACATTTAGACAAACTGTCAACTTTTCAACTTGCCTCCTTTCCAAGTTGTTTTACTTCTCAAGAATCCCAAGAGATTCTGTAACTGCATGACAATTACAATTCTGATATTTCTTCATTTGGTATTTTGCAAATATCTGAAGGGTATAGAGGTCATATGCATTTATAAGTAATCCAGAAATTAAAAATCACCAGCTTTCTGTCACTGCTCTTCTTTTATAGCATTTAACAAGTACAACATACACACTATAAAGCAAGGAAAGCAATAACTACTTTTTAGGCTGAAGGATGCAAAATCAAACTAACTTACATAGTTGGACTTGAAAAAAATTACTGAGAAAAATTTGATTCCTAAAATGGCATAGCCAGGAGATGAGATGTGAATGCCACTAAGCTGGAAAATAAGTAATTGCTGCTTCTCAGCTCTTGCATATGTGCTCTAGGCCTTAAGCTTAGATGATACTCAGTGAATTATAGAGTAATTCTCTGTGCAGATTTCCCATCTCTTACTGTCTCATCTGCTCAGACGGAACAAGATTCTATGTTCATTAAAGATGAAATTCAGAGGTAGGTTCTAGAAGAACAGACAGCTGGGAAAACCACCAAATTGCCAAGGAGTTTTCAGACATCCATAGGTAGACAGCCACTGTGTTAAACCTCCCTGACTAATTAAAGAATCTTTCACAGTCTTATTTTAGATTTTATTTTGTATGTGGTCCTCAAATTATCTTTCAAAGTTGATTAAAATTTGAACTGAAAATCAAAAGAAGACTGCTTTTGAGAATATGACACTGTCTATTTTCATGCCTGTAAACCTGGGAGCAAAATGGTAGATGTTTGTCTAATTTATCTTTTACATAATTTTCAGTTTATATTCTCTTGTAACTCAAGGAAGTAAAATCATCCCTATAATTTTCACTATGTCTGTGGTTGCAATCACGTAAGCCATTTGCTGTAGGGCTGTGCTACAGACACCATTTTATTTCAAGTCCACATGGATATAAAACAATATGGACTTTTCCAGGCTTTTAAATTGAACAAGCTTCTCCTGTTTAGTGCATTATGTTTGCATAATAATAAGCTTGAAAAAGAATTATGCATATCAAAGCTGTGGCATACATGGATTTGCAGTGATTTCCAAGTAATATTGTGAAACATCAAAGAATGTTCACTCTCCAAGAAATAACTCAAATAATGTGTAAATGTTCAGATTAAGTACTGTGCAAATTAGCATCAACAATGTATTTGAATGTCATTTTTTGTCCAAGAATGTAAAAAAAAAAGAAACCCAAATGCCAGTGTAGCCTCTTTATTAAAGTTTGGAACACAAAAGCTCATAAGTTTAGAGATAACCACCAAAGCAACCTACAAGATTCATATTTGCTTAGTTCCACAGGAACCAAATGAAGATCTGCTACCCTGCATGAGGCTGAGGATGCCTTCCCCAGGCCATGGATTAGATGATGGATAGGAGTGCAGTGACTGTTTCATTACCATGTTTTCATCACCATGTTATTGTAACCATGAAATGCAACGTTTATCAGACAGCAAAAACCACTGAACTGTGAAATTATTAGGTTACAGACTTGAAAAGTGCTGAATTCTGATGTCTTGTGTCCTTTCATTTTTGTTTTAACAAGGGATAGCTTTACGGATTTCATTTTTAGTGAACTCAAAATTTATTTAGTTAAGTAAGACAGATACTTGATTATGCATTATGCATTGTAAATTTCTTTAAAAATATTTTTTGTACTAGCTTTCCCCAAAAATTTAATTGTGAATCAATCTGGAACAACTGCATGATGAATTCTAACAATGAAGATTCTGTCATGGAAATACTTATACTACTTAAATGTGACAATTTAGGCCATTAGGCAAGTGATTAAAAGATATTTCAACAGTAAAGGAACAATTTTCAAGACAACAGTACTCAGTTCAATACAGGTGGCACAGTTACTGTATAAGTTGCTGAAGACAAATTATCAAAGGAATTGCAAAGCTAGACAAAAGCAGAACTCATTCCTTAAACAGGTTTGTCACATAAAGCCCAGTGCCATTAGGAATAACCAAATAGCTGATAGTTAAGCTTTTGCCAGAGGAAGGGAGTTCTCAACAGTGATGTCAGCATCTGACAGAATAATTTCCAAATAATTGTTATAATTACAATTAGTGTAAGTTGCTTACTTTTATAATCATAATTGGTGACTTGTGTTGTTAAGTTAAAGTTAGGCACCTTTAGTCATCATTGCTTATCTCTGCATATACTTCAAGAGCAAAATTTAAAAATATTGAGAAAACAAGCAAACAAGAGAAAAATTAAAACTGGACTAAACCAACTATAAAAGTTGTATAAAAGCCTTGGTTTTGTATCTTTGCTTTCAATAATATGAGCATCCAAAGTTCTTCTAATAAGACAGAAACAATATAATAAATTGAGAAAAAATGCTTAGCTACTTTATTAACATCTTGACAGTTGTTTTATACTACCAAAACAAAAGATCACATCTTTGCTTCTATGGAAGCAGAGATAGGCACATTTTTAATTAAAGTGGATGCTTACACAATACTATAACTAAGAAAAATTTACAGTACTGTAGAACCAGTGATAGGCATAGAAAATTATCATAGATATGTCTGACTCTAGAAAAGCTAGATATCTTTAAGTTTTGTTTTGTTTTAATTTTAAGAGTGTGAATAAAATTCTTTGGTGTATTGTGGCAGCAGCCTCGGGAGACAAAGAGTTGCACTGTCCCACCCCAAACCCCTTGTGAAGGGTGGCCCAGGTGCTCTGATTGGGTTTGAGTCCCTGGGGGTTCTCCCTTGGTGTGCTTCTACTGGTCCCTGACCCTGAACTCCACCCTTAAAGGTGGAAACCCTTGAGAGTTCTGTCCCTCAAAAACCCCTGCTGTGCCTCTGTTCAGGGCTCTCTGTTCTGGACCTGACTTTGTTCCCATGCTGAATAAATGGTTTCATGAACCGGGAGCCCGGCTCGTTGGTGTTTCATGCTGGTCCCCAGAACCCTGCAGCTTCCCTGGATGAGATCCTGAGGTTGCTGACTGAAACAGTGTATGATTTGACTTGTGGACCAAAACCACCTAAAGAACTATAAACTCTTTTAGCTGAAGAAAAGGATACAGTTCTCTTAAGTTATAACAGCTGAGAATTTAGCTGAACAGAAAAAGGATTGACTGTAAGGCTGGAATTAATATTAGATATTTTTAAACTAAAGCTATCAGAGCCTGTAATAATGACAATATCATTAGAAACTTCCATTGCTGCTCCTATCATCTGTCACCTCTACCGTTTTTGCTAAATACCAAGTAAAAATATTATTCAGTTAGAAATAAAAACTCAAACTTCAGGTCAATAAAAGCAATATACCCATTAGCATGGGATCCAAGAGCTTTCAGAAGTCTAGAGTAGATTGAGATTTAACTTTCAGGGAAAAATTGATCTGCATTAACATAGGTGACTAGTCTCATTTCAGATGCCTTATCATATCCAAGGTATTAGCACAAGACTGGAAGGTAGGAGAAAAAAAAACTATGGTTCTGTGACCTTCTGCAGTGCCAGATGGAAACTAGCAGGGATACTTTATGGCATCTCAAAGGAAACTAGATACCTATGAAAAGACAGCATTCATTTCACCTGCCCTTAAATATTCAAAAGTTTGAAAATTACTATTAGTATATCTAGACCTGTAGCTGATCAGAAGAAAAAGGCAACTTTTGATGGAAATTTATCCTGTTTATCTTAGATATATAGGACATAATTAAGCTAGATTCGGTAGCACTTTTTAATGGTTAACTTCATTCATAAGTTTCTGTTGCCTTGTTCTTTGCAATAAAGAAGCCAAATGCCAAATCTTCCTTATACCCTTTTGCCAGAAAGAGTTGGTGGACATCACTGACTTGTAATGCATAGCTTAAATGAATTTAACCCCCAGAGTAAAGATCAGTTTTGTACACTGAACTTCATTTTTTGTCCTTTTATGCACAACTAAATGGTAATTAGATTTTAATGAAAAGCATTAGACTGATTACAATTAACATAATCACTCTTGTCAGTTCATGTCCTCATGTTCTACATGCTGAGCTTAGTAGGCAAGACAGGGCACTTTAATGTTCAAACATTTTCCAAGATTCAGTTAATTATAAATTTTTTCTTTAAAATACCTCTAATTACATTTACAATCAACAGTAAGTAATTTATAGGTGATATTTTCTGATCTACCTTAAGTTACCTTCTCACAGCACCTCTTTTTTAGTCAGACTCATTTATGACATTCTGGAGTGCAAAGTATAAAGACTAATTAGCACATTCACAGTACAGTGAAACAAATTTTCCAGGTGAAAATTAGTGCTTTAATGTTTTGTCTTTAAGTTGCTTATTTGACCTGATACTCTGAAATGTATATCCTCTATCTGATCCCATAAAGGGCTGTTCACTCATCCCAATTGCATGATCCAATACAGAAGCTGTTTTACTGAAGGTTTTCCAATTCTGTGCAATTCTGAACCTGAAATTTACTTCTTCAATTATAATTAAGAGTTAAATACTCATTAACAGATGCAACACTTGAAAATCTGTCACATGACACGAAGACAAAAAACTTCACCAATTACCTTCATGGAACTTGTAACAAAATGTCTACATCTTCTGCAATTGCCAAAAAAAGAAAATATTTCAGCAATTCAGAAATCTTAAACAGAGAGTTACAAGCTACTAAAATACTGAAACGTCAATATTCTGTGCAGCTTTGCTACAAACTGTCAGGCAGTTTGATCACATGATGAATACTAAAGAATGTAAAGATTCTCACTTAGCCACAGATTGATTACTTTAAATCCTTTACAGGTCAAGGCAACAGTGGTCTGCTCATGCCTCAAGAAGACTAAATAAACTAGCCTCAAGAAGACTAAATAAACTCGTCTGATTTTTATTAAATATTAATTAAATTAATAAATTAAATAAATTAATATAAAATTAATTAATAAAATAAATTAATAAATTAATAAATTAAATAAATTAAATAACTAAACATTAACATATTCCTTAAATGTTATTTTTTACTCCTTACAATTAAAAATTAGTAACACATTCCACTTGTCAAGCAGAGTAAATGAAACTATTTTCACTATACTTGAATACTTGAGCTCTCAGCTTTTCATCACTAATTCCAATTAATTCCAGTAAAATATTCTCTGCAATGGTCAGCATGATCACTCAGTGCATCAATCAGATATTATCCTAGGATGGGAAAATCACTTATTCTCTCTTAAAGCATTAAATTGTCTTCTACTTGCTCATAGTGCCACTGAAGTTTAAGGAATGTATTAGTAAACCAAACTGCTTAAACATTTCTGTCCTTTAAAAATCTGTGCATAAAGTTATTTTCATTTATTTGCTAGTCCTGACAAGAAAAAAACCCACTTTTATTTCCACAAATGTAAAACTTATTTTATTTTTTTTTTCAAAAAACAATGAATAGCAGCATATTACATAGCACACTGGTGAGAAACTTTAGAAACATTTATTTTGCTCTTTGTCTTTAATTCACTGTACATACTTTTAACTAGTTTTTTTGGCTTATGAAAGAGTGTTTTGGGGGAGGCAGATACAACTTTCAGAAGAATACAGGAAAATGAAGTAAATAGGTAAATCTGAAATGTATTAGAGACTTAGAGACTAGAAAAACCCCAAGTTTACATCTTCATCCAAATAATAATGACTGAAAGTTGATTAGAACCCTTTACTTCTGAATGATGTCATCTATGGAGAACAACAGTTCTACTCACACACATTAATTCATAATTTTCCTATGTCTTGATGAGAAATACATACATTATATTTAGACATATAAGGTGGCAATGACTGAATCAAAGACAGTGTCCTGTGTCCTACCGCCAGTCTTTAGGTCAAAATAACAAAGAAAAACTCCACATAGCCAGTTTTAAAATACTGATCACTTGAACAATATTGATCATAATTTCTCTATGAAAAGAGAAGCTTTCACTTTATACCTAAAGATCAATTTGATCAGTTTAATAAAAAATTTTAAAATGCATTTCAGTAATCATGCACCATGCAGACAATGTTCTGAGGAAAAAAAAAGCCAACCAACATAAACCATAGACATTAAATAATACATTGTGAGGTAACACTGGTGGGAATATTTAAAATATGGTGCAGAAGAAAAGTTTGTATGTGCAGACCCTATTTAACTTGTGAAGTATTGCTGATTAGATAAATCTAGGTATGTGGTTGATGTGGAAAACCGGGAATAAAAAACCTAAAACAATCAATGTAAATCCAAAAATTCTCCCTAGTTGTAGCCATTTGCATAATCATCTAACATAATTAAAAATATAATCTCTTTTCTTCTAAAGACTGAGGAAGTTGCAAAAGAGTTGAGAAAGAGTTAATAAGTGTAGGAACAATGTATATGAATAGGGTATGAAATTATTATATTTGAGAAGAAAAATATTTACATACTTGAAAACTGGATGGAGAAGCCTGACTTGCTGATGAAGAAATCACTGTCAAATTGTAATGTTAATGAGTTGAAAGTGCTGTGAATATCCTCTGGAAGAGCTGAGCCACTCCACTCTTTGAGAAGTATGCTGCTCTCAACAGGCCCATCCCATACCTTCAAGATGTCATGAGCAACCTCAGTATCAAAAACAATAAAATGCAAACTGCAAAGAAAAAGTAAAAGTACTGTGCATTACTTGTTAAAGACAATTCCATGAAACTCCAAGCAGTCATTCCCAAATTGTAGTTTTAAGATACTGTTTAGGACTGAAGACCTTCTGGTCCTGCAGAGTTACTAACTTTTACTCTTGAACAAGCTGGTCTTGTAAGAGTCATGAAGTTCTGTTTCACAAATGTCTGAATGACACAAAATGCCATTACGGGGCATAAGTCCTCAAGCCCTAATTTATAAGTCTATAAATTATCTTATTTTTATGATGAGTATTTTAAGGTGTACAAATTATGATTTGATCAAAGATTTCCCCTTTTTATTCAAATGAAGATAGCAAGAATGCTGTTTTGCTTGAATTATATGCAACTGAAAATATGAAGCAGCTACTAGACAGTAGAACACATAGCACAAGAGGTCCTGTCAGCATGGCATTTTCTTTCCTACACAAAAAAGAGAAAAATATTATAGATTGGCTTTTTGCTAAAATTCATAAAATCTAAAACTTGTATTATAATACAATAATCTGTATGTATCATCAGGTGAAGAATTATATTTACTAAGATGTTCAGGAATGTTATCTTATAAATCAAAATACGTGCATTGTCTCCAAGTCCTGAATGTTTACATTCTTAATACTGAAGAATTCTAATAGATAAATATCAAAATGTCTCCTTTTTTTGTTTCAAGTACTTATGCATTGACATTCCTTCATCTTATAAGTCATTAACTGGAAATTATTAATTTGAAAATTGTTATTTAAACAAAAATGATGCATTGAAAAAACCCATGATGGAGTAAATTCAGTATTTGGCTTAGTGAAACAGGATTACAAAAAAAGGGGAGAAAAAAACCTCCCACTGAATAATTCGTCATTTTATTATATTGTTTTGCCTGTGAGTCCCTTTCAAATCAGAATATTCTGTGATTATTTTTGTCTTCCAGAGCAACACATTCTGAAGGCCTGCTCCTGAAGAGGTGGCTGGCTATCACCTACCAATAGGCAATAGAGAATAAATCTTTTTTTTTCCTCTGCTTCCATGCATGGACCTTTGCTTTTGTTTTATTAAACTGAGTTTATTTTGACTCACAAGGGGTTTTGTCAACGTTATTTTCTCCCTCCCCCATCCTGCTGAGGAAGGACAATGTCAACCCACCACAGACATTTTCAGGGCCCAGTGTGGGTCTTGATATGACATAAGTTTCGTATGAAGGTTCTATAGCTACAGTATCAAATAGGCGTCATGTTCCTGCGCAGGTCACGGGGTTTGTTGGTTTCACTGATTAACTCTTCATTTCGCTGAATTTGGGAATATGTTAATTCAAGTAATGGGCCTGTGCTTTGCCCAGGCACTGATGACCTTGGTGTGCTGGCAGAGCTATCTTGTGGGGAGGATGAGGGAATGCAACATTCTTTTTCTACCTGTGATTCATGGAAATTCATTCATTCATTATGTGGATTCCTGAGGTTCTTGTTCACCCTAAAGTAAGTTGTTTAACACTACTAATTAACACTGAAACATATTCTGGGGTTTGTGGAATCTGGTGTTGTGCTGGTGCAAAATACAACTTCAGAGTGAGGTGATACTCAAATGAGCCTTGAATGCTGCTTATCTTGTCCCACATCCAGGGACTTTACACCTGAACAGGCAGGCAACCTTGGAAAACCGATGCAACACCTTACAGAAGGATACCTTGACTATGCCAGTAAAAACAAGCAGCTTGTGTAGAAAAATATGAGAATGACAAAAAATTTATAAAATACTGAAGCTAACCAGAGACATTGAAATTAAGCATGTACCTTATTGTCTTCCCTGGATCTGCTTCAATAATCCAAGTGCAATGGAGATTGTTGTCATATGGTGCTGGGTAACCAGGGGACAAAATACGTCCCGATGTAGCAGCATGAATTTGACCACCACACTCAGCTGCAAAATAAGGATTAAATTTCTAATGACACCATAGTAATTGGCACTTCCATTTTCCATCCATTCCACATCTCTGTCTTTTCTAAAAAGTTAACCTAATACTTCTGAAGTATTGCACATATATACAAACCAAGACATGTACATAAGTTAAAAATGAACACAATGATCTCATTCCTACATTGTTATAAAGAAATAAAGCATAATTCTATAATTCTGTTCATCAACTGACCAGACTGGTTCAATACTAGGTTCAATATGTACTGGGACTACAAAAGCACAATTTTAGCATTAGCAAGACAGCAAAAATGTTTCAGAAATTTCCCATCTAACATGCTTAGCTTTTCTAACAATGAGTGCTTGAATTCAAATTTTGGAGCATTGAATTTTATAATTAAAATAGCTGTCTGTTTTGCTGTAATGTCAAAATTATTTTAGTGTAATCTTTTCAAGTAACTTCTATATAACTTCAGGTTTAATTACACCAAAAAGCAGTAAGTATTGACTAGCAATTTCCTTTGGTATTTAAAAATTTAAATGCCATATGCTTGCAAAGCAAGAGAGTAAATCAGAAAGCTATGATTTGATTGTACATGGCATCTGGTTTAAAACATTTTTACTATCAATGCTATTTTTGTGGAGAGAACAACAGCAACACTAAGCATCCATAATCAAATTATTGTTATGTTGCTTGTTTAGAGCATCATGCTGGCCAGTGAAAAGACACACCCTGATGAAAGAGAACTGTGTAACAGGCATCTGCCACTGAACTAAAAGTGATTCTTCAGTTAAGTGATGTACGTGAATTTCTACTCCATTTATAGTGTTGACTTACAAGTAGTGTAGTTAAAAAACCTACTGTGGGGATTTATTCAAGCACAGCTGTACAGCAAGCATAATAAGACAGAGATGATGAAAAACACATGGCAGTTAGACCAAATAATCAGCAGTACTCCTAACAAATATTAATCTTTGTACATGCCACCAAGTCACTGCTCACAACCAAGTTGTTACCATGAGGGAAAATTACCATAAGGGAAATAAGGTGACATTTATTTATCCTGCTGGTTTGATCACTCAGAACACTACATTCTATATACAGAACACAGCAGGAAGCAAATTTAGTACAAAATTTCTTCAAATGTAATCCACTTCTAGGATTTCAATAAATTTCCATTATAAAAAATGTTTGGATTGCAATAATCACTATTGTGATTATGTGGTAGATAACTACAGATAAGAAATTACTGATACAGTATTGTATTTATCAAAGAACTAAATTTAACTCAGTGAACTAATTGACATACTTGATTTAAAATTCTGAAAAGGCTCATTTAGGAAAAGAATACATAATAAATTTGAGATGATGCATTATGTATTTCATATATATATATATTTATTTATATTTATATATATAATCTATTTTATGAGTAGATTTAAAGTAAATTTCCAGAATTTATTATAAAAACAATTTGAAAACTTTATGTTCCAATATCCAGAAATGAGCACGCTGTAAAATTAGCACCTCTAAGAATATACAACTATACTATAACTAGAAGTGTAGAAGAAGTGACTTAAACATTTCCGGAAACTTCTAGAGGAGGAATCAAAAGAATTCCTTTGCTTTCTTCATTAAGTTTTAGAACATAGAAAAAATGAGAATGAATGCTGAAACCAGTATAATAGTTTATCACTAAAAATAAGTAAGTGTAAATGTGTGGAATATGTCTATGTATAGGTTTGATTTTTTTTGTCAATGAGACTGAAGGCTAGTGAATACAATAACGAATGTAAATTTCACTAAAGAGAACAGCAAATACCAAATGCTGATCTAGTCTATGACCAAAAATAATACATCTCCACACAAAGATTTTAAGAAAAGGTTTCTAAGAAAGAAAGTGATGTTTAGAATTTCATGCCAACTTCAGAAAAAGGAAGAAAAATAAGTCATTCAAATCAGAGGAGAAAAAGGTAAAACTGTGATAATATAAGATAAAACAGGTGGAAGAATAGATTTTATAAGTCTAAAAGGGCAGGAGAGCAAGACTGAAATAATCTGCAGATATATAACTGAGTTTTCAGCGGTCTTCTTTGTAAGCTTTCCTGTGCACAGAACAGTAAAAACTCCCCATAATTTAATGAAGATATCAGACTGTAAAAGGTTGTTTAGAAGGAAACACTTTTAGAAGATTTTAAGGGAGAAGAGTGAACATTTGATTTCTTGGTAAACTAATCAATGGTCCAGAAGAGATTTAAACTAGAAATAAGAAGAGGTAGTTTATGAAGAACTGATGCAATTCCAAAATTTTATTTTAAGGAGAGGAACAAGGACAGTAATTAAAAATATATAGAGAGAAATAAAAGAACATATTAAAAACACCTTTTTGTTGAACAGGCAGAAAGTAAGACTGAAATATCACTCAGGATACCAAAAGAAAGCTGATTATTCTATTGATTGAGGGACAATAGATTAGAAATAAGAGATGAAATAAGATTCTCAAGAAATTTTGGCACAAATTATTTCAAAAGATTGGATATAAAATACAGAAACCAAATATATTAATGCAAGGTACAAAATCAAAGTACAAAGATAAAAAAGAAGAAAAAAGATTAAATGGGTATCTTGACTGAAATATACAACCTTAAAAGTATATTGGTATGAAGGAAACTGGAAATACAGGTGGAAATATGTGACTAGAAGGGCATTACATGGTAAGAATACAGTAATAATCTAAATAAAATCTGAGTGAAAAACCATACATATTCATCAAAAGTATTTTGAAGAACTATCATGAAAGATGTGCTACTGGAGCAAAGATGGCAATTTTGTTGAGATTTGCTTGATCCAGGGTTCTTAGCTTCCTCCAGGTCAGGAGGAATTGAAATACACAGGAATTTATTTTTTTTTAATTATTGTTATTTTAATTGATATATTTTTGTGATTTTTGCACCCCACATATAGATTAGAAGACAAATCATCATACAAAGAAGAGGAAACAGGTAGGTGGTTGGTATTTTTCACCTAATAGACTTGAAACCAACAAGTATTTTAGTTTTGATTCTAACTCTTAGTTGAAACAGGCACAAAAAACTATTGCAGAAAATGACCTTAGAGAAATGACTTCATTTAAATTACATGGGGAAATAGGCAAAGGTAGCACTAATTATGGGTCTTCTCTACAAAAGGGCAAACTTAGAGGAAAAGGAAGCTAACCAATTAAACTGAAGGGCATGAGGACTTGAATACATAAAGAGCCTGAAAAAGTCTTTAAAAAACTGTATCATTGTTTTACCTCTTATATATATAGAAGGAAACTTACAGAAGGAAACTTACAGATAAAATTCTAGAATCAAGCGGGGAAAATAACTTCTACTAAGACAGCCAAAATGCTGTTCACTGATGTTTTCCTGGCACTTACCTTCAGCTTAAGATGAATATTTGAAAGGAAGGGAGCTTTCTCTTTTGTAGACAGGTTTGTGAATGTCTTCAGCAGGAAGCAGGTTCTGGAATGGAGAATGTAGCCCCCAAAATGGGAGAAAGGCAACAAGCAAAGACCCTGTAGGTGAGGTGAGTGCTGAAAGCCACTTGTGACCTGCCAGAAGCAGGCAGCAGATGCAAAAACCAAGTATCAGAAGACACATAGAAGGAAAGACTCATGGGAGCTCCATGTGAGAATTGAAGTCAGGAAGTCATTGGCAATTGCTGGACTGGAAAGCAAAACTAGAGGATGCAAAGTGCCTAGTAAAGGTACAGCGGATAACAGCTATACAGGTGCTCAGTTATTCTGCATGTTGGCTAGTAATTCTCTATTTAGCATTTATATTGGTTGTAATGGAACAAAATTTTAGGCATTTGAAAATGTGATATTTCCAGAAAAGATCTACAAGGCTTTGAAAGATGGCATATCTTAGCACAGCAACAAGAACTGCAGAGCACACGGATAAAAGAATTCAGTAACTTGGGATGAAAATTAGAAATAAAACTCATAGAAATGAAATGCTGAAATAATATCTGATGAAAAAAGATGAGAAAAAAAGCCTACAACATTATTTGTTTTATGATGAGGCTATCTTAGTTTATGAAGTGTTTAGACAATATGATTGCCTGTGACAGTATATCAGACTCAGTGACCCAGGGCTTCATCAGAACCAAAGTAGTAGTCCTCCATCAAAGGCTGCTCTATAGAAAAAAATGTTTTATGGTAGTTTTATAACCATTAATAGCAAGTCACCTATTTCTGAGAAGTTATACTTCCATGTCCACATTGATCTTTACTTGAAATTTTAAATATCTTTGCACCATTATCATCTCATGAAGAAAAGAAAATACTGAAAATATTTCAGTATTTTTCTTGAAACACTGGCTCAATCATACTAGAATGTTGTAACAATCCATATTACCTATGCAAGTAGGCAAAGGTTTGTCCCAAACTCTTCGATCTCCACTTAAGCAGGTCATAATACTACTACCATGCATTGTATAGCCAGGATTACAGCTGTATAAAATGACAGTGTCTATAAAATGTCCTTCATCTCGTATCTTGTAGCCATAATTTGGTATGCCAGGATCTTCACACTTTACTAAGTCAAAACCTACAAACAGAAATGGGGAAAGAAGGAAAAAAAGACATGGAGATATAAAGACCAAATAAAATATAGTGGTAACAAATCTGATTCTGATGCAAATTATATTCTCATGATTCAATGACATTAGATGTATGCACAGTGACCAAAGATAACTGGTATATAATTTAGGTAAATCAGAAACTGAAAGAGTAGGAACTAATTATTGACTTGATATTTGATTATGACATTTGCTTATTGAAGAAAGCATCTTATCTATATTCTTCTAAAATAGATTGGTGAGAAATTAATTAATTTATACCACCTCTGTGTTTCACTCTTTTTTATTCACTGAGAAGGAAACATTGATCTTGGTTTCGGCATGAAGTAGCATGGGATGAGCAGATCTGCTCTGAGCACCTACAACTCTTTCCGCATTTTATGCATTACTCTCCTCATTGTCTTCATACAGCATTGCTAATATGTAAAGATGCGTTCTTTATCACTTCTTTAGCTTCAGTTCCTGTTCTTGGAATAATACAGACTGGTTCCAAATTTATCTGTCTTAATTCCAAATTCTTCCTTGTGGATTCTTCTTCATTACTGCCATGTCCCTAAACCAAAGAAGTAATTCTGACTCTACAAATAGTTTCCATTTTGCTGTCCTTGTTTTACTGAACAGCTTACTTAAGTGGTTCTAAATCAGGCTGTTGGTCTTCAGTTTTCTGATTTCAGTGCATTCTCTACACGAGGTTGCTCGGGGAAGCTGTGGATATCACCTCCCTAGAAGTGTTCAAGGCCATGCTGGATGTGGCTTTGACCAACCTGTTCTAGTGGAAGATATCCTTACCAACATGTAAGGTCCCAAGAAATTTGATGTCTAAGACTTTCAAAAGGGCTTAGAGTTGTTCATGTACTCTGAGTTAGACGCATAGGAGAAATACTAACAAAATACCCAAAAGATCAGAATAACAAAAAAAGCTTTGACTGGCACCTTTGGAAAATCAGAGAACTTTGGCAAAAGGTTTCGTGCAGCATCCAATCAATATGAAACAAACACTTCTCAAATCATTAACTTGGCACATTCAACTTAGCAAACTCCAAACCCGATCTATTTTAAGTTTCTCAAAACATTACCCAAATCCCAAGATAAGGTAATTAGGAGAGAAAGAGAGAGACAGAAAAGGCAGACAGGTAGAAAAGAACAAACATAGCCATCACTCCTGGTTCCAGTGGTGTTCAGCAGATAGATGTTCCAAGAGGAAGTGGGGTCAAATGTGCTTGCCTTGTGTCTTGCTTGAAGTACCCTTTGGCTTTTCCTGGGCGCTTCCCCAGCTGGGGATTGCAGTCATTTGGCCACATGGGAGCTGGGTTAGGTGCTCCAGGGTCAGGTGTGGAGCATTTCCTCCAGTGTGCCAGGGACTGGCAGCCACTGCAGGGCTGGGATACAGGCTGGGGGAAGGGTGGGGTGTAAGGGGCAGCTCATCACCTCACCAGAGCAAGACCCGAGCTGCCCCTTGCCACACACATATCCACACACCCACACACACCCCTGAATGTTTCAAGCCAGCAATCCTTCCAGGCTCTCACACCATAGCAAGAGGGTTGGAACTAGATGATCTTTAAGGCCCCTTCAAGTGCAAACCATTTTATGATTCTGTGAAGTCCTTCACTAAGTATGTATGTAGTAAATAACATATCTACAGACAACCTTTAATTATTTTACAAATACACAAGCTAGAGTTGGTATCATATTTTTCTTGTTACCTTTCTTCTGGAAGTGAGATCAATCACAGCTGAAAAAACTGCAAGGAGTCTACAGAGCTTTTCTTCCTATAGAAATGCTAAAGATATCCATCAACTGACGCCGCTGAAAACACAAATCCTTTGTTTTCTCTGTTCATTAATTGGGTACAAAGGTCAGGATTTACCTGTTATAACTCAGGATTCTGAAAGTTAGAAGGCTAAGTTTGAACTAGTCTAGGCCACTTCAATTGTCAGGAGAAAAATATATATATCTAGAAACCAATCGACCCCTTAAATCAACAGGTGTTCACATCAGTCAGCTCAATCAGCTCCTGCAGACATTTATTTTCTTACCTTTTATTTTAACTGGGCCCATGGTCTTTCTTTATATAGTAGGCCAGAACTAAATGCTATTCTATCACATAGATACTGCATCTCTCTCTGTCCTAATATCTACAGAAACATGAGGCCTCAGGAACAATAAGAATAGTCTGACCACAGTCATGAAGTCTTAAATTCAATTATCCTTTAAAAGTGCATGGCTGTCTATAACTCCCTTCCAGGGAATTGAGCTATAGGTCTACTATATTAGGCCTGAGATTGTTTGGGAAAGTCCTAGACAGAAGGCAGCAAGATAGAGGCATGTTAGCATTTACTCTAGCATTTTGTCAGTCAAAGAATCACTTCCCCATACTCATGTCCTGAAAATACTTAGTTTACTAGCAAAGCTATATTCTTTTTATCAGATGGAGTTGTCTATAATCACACACAGTACAAAAGGATTGTAGAAATTTTTCATTATTACCTTACTAAAAGATTGTTTCTTTCTGAATATTTGCACGTGCTTGCAATTTGCTTTTGGATTAAAAAAAAAAGGAAAAAAAAAAAAGGAAAAAAAAAGGAGTGTCAATCATTTTAACTGGCACTCAGCAATGATTATATCAACACTCACATCTAAACAGTTTTCTGTCTTTTAGAGTTAAAGCATCTTATGAAGTATGATTAATCTTATCCTAAGGTGAAAAAAGGTAGATTGGATGGACTGGACAATTCTAAAAAAATATATTTCTCTTCACACTCTATAAAGAATCAAGACAATTTGATCATTCAGATGAGCTAAACTTCACATGACGTAACTATATTTCATTATTTTAATCTCCTTATTAAACATACAGAGACATTTATGTAAAACCCTGAAAATGTAAACTGATAGCATAATATTTTAATGCTGATTTGACAGCATGAGCCAGTGTAAAACTATTTCTTCGACACTGCTCTTAGACACCTTCTCATTCTTTATTAGATGCAACATTTGGTTATCAAATACAGTGGTATGTGATTGACAGATGAAACTCCCTTGATTAAAGAATTAAATATTACAGAATTAAAGAATTTACTTGTGCCTCATGGAAAAAACTCTCCATAGCACTGTTAGAGAGATTCATTCTCCAATACCTTGTTATCACATAAAGAAGACAAGGTTTTCAGGGAGAGGTAGTATCTTTTATAAGTCCAACAGACAAATTTGGGTGAAATGAAATGAACTTTTGAATGAACCAGCCTTCCTAGTCTGCTATACAGCCATCTTCACTAAAGAAGGTATAAATGGGATAAAAATGTTGTTCTGACTTGCTATAATTTCTTGTATTCCAGTTAGCATTCAGTTTTGCACATGGTGTAAAGATACATCACAGATGTAAAGAGTTAAAGACATCATATCAGAAACTTTAGAAGTTTGAGGGAAGCCTACCATAGCCTGCCTGAACACCTACCATAGCCTGCTTGTACTTTGTCTAATCTAACTTGAAACAAGACTGAGGAACATAAAATATATTTTTGTTTTTATTTTGCCTTATTAATCATTCAGATCATCATTGTAAGTCACTTATATCTTTCAGTATCTACAAACATAATCTATTTCACCTTTTTTGTTGTTGTTGTTCACAAAAGCCTGTGAACATAGTTTTTCACCTGTCTGTCCCAACATAAATTGCCTACTTCTTCAAGAGCCTCACACTCTACAGTTACTCACTGTACTGCATTTTTGTATTTGTAAACAACAAAGTACCTCTGAAAATTATAAATAGGAAAACACAACTTTGTTAAAAAAAACTCTGAGTACACTGTGGCATGTACAGGAACTTCTCAGCCTCTACATATGCCAAAGAACATTACATCCCTTCCAGAAATATACTGATTTTTAAAATATTTTTTAAATCTTAATTTGAAGATTTTTAAGACTTGGAAGCAACAAGAGAGTTAAGATTTTTCTGCCAGTTGATTATAAACCCAAATCAAATATTTATCTGGGGTAAAGTGTTAGATAAGATGATCGTAGAGAACATATCAAGGCACTGTGTTAAGTATCAGAATTTAATTTCCTATTTCAAATACAATAAATCAAAAGATAATATACAAATAAAAAATATCTAACTGCAAGCAAAAATATAAAACCTAAATTTAAGGATCCTTGAGACACTAAACCCTTCAGTATGTCCTGGTTTATTTAGATTATTCAAACATTTTTATCAAAAAGAACACCTTGATTTAAATTTTTATTTTTCATGTCTATCTATTAAACTCATTAAGAGTTTGGCAGTACACTTAATTTTCAGGTTTGTTTGCACAATAAAAAATTGGGGGAAAAAATTAATTTGAACAATCAGTGTGGCAAAATAAAAATCATTATTACTTTTTGTATTTCAAGAATAAATCCTTCAAAAACATGCAACAAACTAATTGCTGGCATTTATGCCAAATTCTTAAAATGACACTTTGAATACTCTAGAAAAAACTGTAAAAATGACAGTACACCATTTGCAGCCCCATGTTCACCACATTTCTCCACCAGCAAGACAGCCACTGTTTATCAGTAAGCCTATTAAAAACTGGAGTATTTCACAGGCATCTGGTGCTGTTCATCATGTGCAAACACAGCAGTATCTTGCCCTGTGCTCTTCTTCCCCAGTTTCTTCCACTTCCTCTCGTACGCAAAACACAACTTTCAATTCTTTTTTTTCCTGATTATTTTGTAAATCTTGAGTAATTTATCATAAAAGATCATCTTTTTTTGAAATATCATTGTAGAAATGTTTCAACAGAACTTCTGTTAAAGTTAAAGATGATGCCATGAACTTTTACAATGGGGGAGTACGGTCATGAGTTCCACACAATCACAGTACTCGGGTTTACCTGACATTGCAGCAAGTCAGCATCAGAGAAATTCTGCCAAGATTCTTACTGCTGAGAAAGATTATTGTATTGGCAAATTGCTGCCAATTATC